TACTGTGTACACATACAATATAAATATATCACATAATATTATGTACTCATTAAAATATCATTCGTTATGACCTGATCGTCCTTGTTTAAATATAGGTACATATTATAATGATTCTCTATCGGTCCATATTGTAATATGATGTTCGACGTCATAATACAATAAGTACGAAACAGACAAATGAAAAAACAAAATACTCCTTGTTATCGTTTTATATTTTTTTTTGTTTAAATTTTTGTGACRTTATATTATTATTTAATCTCCCATACTGTGGGCAGCCAAGTTTTTTTGCATTTKTTTTTTTTGCTTAATATAAAAATTTAATGAACTAATGATACATAAGATGCAACACAATAGAATTGTTTTATTTTCCTAATAAGATCATCATTGAATCTATACACGATTGTTATAATTATGGATGTATCGCTTTAAAATATGTTGACTAATTTATTTTTTATCTGCTCAGTAGGGTCTTGTATAGTTGTACAATGTATCAAAGCTAAGAACAGAACTGCTTACATAAATAGTAATATCATCATTCATCATCAATAGTATCAACCGGCGTTTTGTTAGTGTAATATTTTACGTGAAGTAGGTCATTGTTCGACAGTGTCTCGTCAACAACAGATGATGTGTTATCTGAATTATTTCCTTTGTACAACTTAAACATGAACACATTTCGAAAAATAAATGCATCATAAGYTGATATTCTGACATAACGTCGATCAGATTAAATTTCACAACAGGCACGTGTAAATCAGGTTATTATAATAATATAACGACTTTTGCAACGAATCTATTCTCACGATCAGGCTATATAAACTTTTCACGGTATCATCAGAAACATAACRGTCGCCTAAGCCTAACTTTAAGTTTATTGAAATACGTTATGAAATCGTTATCACAAATAACCTATCATAATATAGATTTCGTCACTTATCTGTATACCAATCAGCAATAGAGGAATGCCGTATAATAGTGCTTGTTACAAAGAACTGTCCAGTTCCAAAATTTCACATGCAAAATAATATTAATTTAAAAATAAATGTAAAATTGTTTAAAAATCATAATGGTCAATAAATGCAATTCGAAAAATATGAAATTTGTATAATATTAWATATGGTTGTATCAAATTGTATAAACATTATATTATAGATGCTGCTATACAAATGTAGTACTTATAAAATTATATTATATACAGTAATAATCGAGATGGYTGAATTTATATACAATGTATGTATGAATATCAATAAAGCAAATGTATTGTAGTAAAAATCCAATGAAATTAGAGGATGTCCAGGAAATAGATATTCATTGGTCACTATAGYGAAAAAAAGTTGTACTTTACACAATATACCATGGATTATGAATMTTGTGYAGTAAGCTGAATTCTGCRTATAAATAAATCAATATAAATAATATTATATCMAATCAGGATTAAACGTAAAGTAACTACATAAAAATAATATAAATGTTATTGTTTACTTAAAGTGAAACCATATTATTTGAAAATTAAATCAAATTTATGATTAAATCARTTGATAAATTATTTAGTAACAACATAAGTCAAAATGTGTAGTAAGAATCTGTGAAAATAAAAATACGTATTAGAAAATATGAATTTCAGAAATATCAAAAAGCCAGAAATATAAATAATATTTTGCAATCATTAATGTATCTACAAAAAAATATAATAGTATTAACACAAAAATAGTTAATTATATATAATTGAGAATATTCATGAAAAAAAAAAAATTGATTTCCATATTTATAGATATTTAGTTAAATTAATATTAATATTAATTTAGACAATTTAGTAGTTTAAAATATCAACACTTATACGGTTTTGAATATTAATAATTAATGGTAATACAATGAACAGAATAAATGTTTCATACAAGTTGTAACAGATAGAACTGACTTTTGGAATAACTTTTGTTCAAATTAATATTTTTTTATTTTTTTTTTTCATTAAGTGACCGCAGATTAATCACATTGCGAGAGGTGCACGATTGCTGATAACTCGTATTATAGACGTATCGAATAACTGCCAATTTCAACGTCATCTATTTATTTCATCTATACGTTTACCTTTTACGTGTTTAGAACGTTTTTMGAATAGATTATTTTCATAAAACTCAACAACTCATATCGTGCAGATTTAAATAAATGTTTTTGAGTACCTACCAATTTATTTTGAAAATCTAATCCTTTGATTTTTTGAACTAGTAGACTACCGCAGTAATGGCTGTCTTCTCCCCAAGACCTTAATTTTCCTTTTGTCCGCAGCGAAATTATTAGAAATCAAGTGACTAATCTTCGTATTATTTTTATAATAATTATTGCTCACTTGATAATATCATATATACAGGCACGATGGAAAGACTGCTCTAGAATAAATTGAAAATGTAATTTTTTTTTATTATTAGACCTAAATTATAAACATAAAAAAATGTATTATACGTGTAGCGTTAGAATCACTTAATTAAAAAAAAAAAAAAATTAAAAATACTAATTTGAACAAAAATTATACCAAAAGTCAGTTATTTTTATTACACCTTGTATAATAAATGATAATGAATGTTATCAATTTATGATGATTTATTATGATTTATTTATAAAATATATTATTCCTTAATCCTAATATTGAATTTCAATAGATAACGTTTCTACATCATACAAACAACTAAAACTGTCAACGATATTTTATTGGTAATAATATTATTTGTAATTATTTATCAATATTTAATAGTAAGCAATATTATTTATTGTTTAATAAACAAAGGCATGAATTTATCTAATTTAATTTGATAATTTAAAAAATTAATATCCAGTTGACAAAAAAAGCAATCGTAACGTTGCTATACATTTAATCCGTTCAAAAAATGGCGTTGTGTACACTGAAGAAGCAAAGAAAAATACAACATTTTTGGAAATTGTTAAAGTTTTTCTTTAATTTCATCAGTTTAATTATAGTAGCAACAGTATAAACGTTTAAACCAGAATTATCTGCAGTGAATGCATTTCAATGAAATTGATTCATTGGTTAATCATCACACTTTTTCTGATTATTGTTGAGGAATTTCTCACTCATTAATTTAAAAAAATATAGGCACGTGAATAAGATTATCTATATATTACTTTTATTAACAAATATTAGTGCAATGTAATCAACGCAAAAATAATTGCTTGTTGTGAAACAGGCTAATTAGTTTTTGTACCTCATATACCTAACAGTTACAGGCTATCTATTTCAATTTATATGTATTAGGTATAGGTATAATATATACTGCAAATACGCGATTTCCCGCTAAATTGTGTTTTTGAATCAACATTAAATAAATCTCATGGACATTGAAGAAAAGTTCATTTGATTTGTCAACATATTTTAATGTTTTTCTCGTGGCCTTTTCGAAGGATCATAAAAATCAGTCATTTACTACCTAAGGTGTGGGTTGTAAAGAAATATTAATAAAGTAAATAAGTTAATAAATGTAATATTTAAAAGTTTTTTTCAATGTTTGGATCATGAACTTATTGGCTAACAAATAGTAATAATGTGTATAAAATATCGATTTTTTTATACTCCGTTCGTTCTTATATAGCTACAGTTATGAATGAAAGATAACAGAAAAATGATTGACCACGTATTATACAGTGATTATTTTATTGAAAAACATACATTATCTACTTCAAAAAACTATTTAAATTTTTAAAAAATTTTTTTTTATAATCTAGATATAAAAAACGAAATTTTTAAAATCATATTTTTATTACTGTATTTGTTATTGTTAATATATTTTTAAGTTTTATTGTAATGAATGCCTAATTTTCGTTTTTAATGTTATATTCTGTAGCAGAATATTTTTCGAAGATAATATTTTACATTTTAAAAATTTAATTTGAATGAATAATTATTAATATTATGTGATGCTGTGGCACCCACTCCTCTCATCAAAACTTTAAATACTTATAACCATAATTAAATATTCGTTCAACATTTGTTTTTCGTGTATCAAAATACTCAAGAAAAATATGCAGCTTTGGTTAAGAATTTAAAAAATATATTCAAACTTTTAAAATATTAAAATAATGTTCTTTATTTAATGAATTCAAACGGTGTAAAACAAAATATTTTCAAAAACTTGGATACTTTCAAGGTGATAACTAATGAGTGTATATTGTCCTCTATTGCATTATAATTCAATATTGTTATATCTACTACTATTTGTAGAAAACAATAATCTTATGTAAATATTATGCAGGTCAAAGAAAAATACCAATTAAGACATATTAATACATTTCTTTGAAATTAACATAGAATAAAACGATAATATAATACTTACTATTATAACTTATAAATGTTTATAAATACTTGCCTGAAGTATAGAAAGGTGATTGAATCCGCAAAATAACAGAGCATCAATCCCAGAGAAGCTAAAGTGCCTCCAATTAGCGTTACTGTACGATATGAGTATATTGATGACAAATAACTCGAAACAGGACCTAATTAACATAAGTTAAACGAATTATAATGTTTTTGTTTGAGTGTTTAAAACTCTTCATGAACAATATTATAATTTTTCTGTTAAAATTTAGAATTAATAACATTCTATATAAAATAACTATAATACGCATAGTAAGTGGACACWACTCATTTAAATTCTTCAGCGATTTATATGCATAATAATTTAATTTATATTATGGAAACGCAGTATAAACTTATAAATGTTTTGGTTCATGTCATTAAAATATGTTTTAACTTGATAAATAATATTAAATGCATTGAATTGGTTTCCTTTGAAGTACATTAGTAAAATGGATACGCAGTACAGCACATTTTAATTAAAATATGTATTTTTGTGAAACGAATTCACAAGAGGGAATAATTTGGTAAATTTAAATATTTAATATTAAGCAACAGAAGTCTGTACCTTTTTAATGGTACAGAATATGATTGTTTCTGATTAGTGACGCAAGTACTAATAATTAATCGAGAAAAGCTTTTGCTAAAGCAATGGATTAAGAAACCAAATCCGTGTCATACCACTCATAGATTTATGATTATAAATTATTCATGATACTGACTTTTAAATTAATTATGAGCTGATCAACAACATAGTTCTCAACAATGTTAATTGAGTATGAATGATTGGTGTAATATATACGTTGAATAAATTTCTTATAATGTAAAGGTATAGTCCAAGAGTCTGTACTCGAAATCCATTCCGTACGGTGCATCATACCAATATCTATCGTTGGTATAAAGTATGAATAATTCATTCAACCTCTGAGGTATATTATTGTGTTTTAATTGGAGTATTAAATCCTTAACTAATTATCTAATTTATATATTATGCAGTAAAAGTTTTTTGAAGAAATTATTTTCTAAAGTTTAAAMAACGATTCATTATTCACGTGTTGTCCATATTATGTACCTACATCGGATCACCCACAGAACATAATATCGATCACTACACTGCAAAACCTCCTAAGTCGATTTTACCAAATTTTTTAGGAAAAGCAAAAACTGTTTTAAAATTATATTGATATCAAAGTTGAGAGTTTTTGTTTTTGTGTATAATCTTATGAAAATAATGGGGATAATTATTATATAATGATATAAAAATACAACGTGCATCTAAGAAAACAATTTTGAAAAATTTAAAAATTTCAATTTACTAGGTTTTGTCGTGAAGAATTGGCTTAAAACTTCTATGAGTCAGGATAGATTTATCATTTTATCAATACTTTGGATTGAATTAGTTTTGTCGAATGAATGTGATGTAGCTAAATATTATTGATATTAATTTTGTTAAAATAATTGACACGTCGAATTATTAGAGCACTTGGCATAAAGCCATAAACTATATTAAATAATCGTCGATCWATAAATAAATTGATAAAACTGGCATATCATCAGGTATTATATATTATTATAAATTATTTATTTATAATTTTAATTTGGATTAAAAATCCTAAGTGTATAACTAAAAACTGGTTGGGTTAAATCTTATACGATTTTTGGTACAGTTTAGTTTCAACACTAACAACTAGTTTTATTAGAGATATTTATAAGTAATTAATTTCRAGTTTTTATCACATCATAATTCTCATTGAAAATTGAAATAATACAATATTACGTAAACCATTGAACAAATTCTTAATATTTAATTTAATTGATAATACTTATTATTAAGAGGATATCAGCAAGCGCACTATTTGTTTTCTCTCACTGGCCCACGCTCAACATAGACAAAACGTATTTACGCAGAATCATGTTTTCTATGTTTTTAAGTAATCTTAGGATAAAATCACCCATTGCAAAAAAGATAGGGGATGACATATCGATTTGTCTAAATATTGTCTCAAAGCAATTTAAACATAATTTAAATTCACAATTTTTTTTTTTTTTTTTGAAAGTCGAATAAAAAACCAAATAACAATAAAATACAATTTCAATAATCAAATTAAATGTTAATGATAAAAAGTTCATAGTTTAAGTTGTTTAGGTTTTATTAATAATTTATTGCAATGCTAATAATGGATTATTATAAGTCTAACAATCAGTAATAGTATAATACTTATTATACTTTATGATAAGTTATGGCGGAATAACGAATTTGACCTTTTTATGTATTAATCGCGTTATAACTTTTTTTAGTGGTTTAAAAATAATTTCACCAATAGTGATCAGAAATTTGTTTTAAAAATATGGTGATAATTTTTAATATCGATGATATTGAACTTAAATTAAATACTTGAGCTTAAAATAAATGATTCATCTTAGTTTTTTTTTTTTGCGGTGTTTCATTATGAAATGTTTGTAATTATTGATATCCTAACTTGTGGCTTGTCATTTGAGGTCGTTACCCCTTAACGCTAATTTAATACATTTTTTAACATTTAAATTTTCACGTAATTTAGTCAATTACAAATGATGAACACAGTAGAATGATATTACGCAATTATTGTACCATTAGAGACGGAGAACTGTTTAATTTAGATGGTTTATTTTCGATTAATTACAATATATATTTTTATTATACTGCAGTTTTAAATCGTTTGGTGCGTCATCGGCCTATCAATGAATGTGTTTGATTAATTAACACGTCTTCATCCATACAAAATTGAAAATACTAATACAATGTATAATATAAATATCATTTACCTAAAGAGCAATAGAGAAAATAGCAAATGGCGGGTATCCATGAGGCTGCGGTTTCTGACGCATGAAACGCTTCAGTGAATTCCACGAACAGTACTCCAAAAGATTTAAGCGTGCCTGGAATCAACATGTTGACCAATGTGCTGCCCAGGAGCACCAGCCAGCCCCATCCGCCATCCGGAGGAACGAGTACATAGTTTTGACTATCTATACCTATTCAAATAAAATATTAAAAATATAATATATATTCATATTAATATAAACTCCATAATGCAGTTGCCTTTTATTATTTGTAGCCAACTGCCAGAACATTTCACATTTTTTCTTAAACCTAATAATTCATAAGGAAAATATTTCTAATTTTACTTTCTTAATTTTTAATAAAGTAATTGGAATGAAAATAATAAAAAAGTAACTCAGTGYTATAACAAATAGGTTGATAATTAAGTTGGATATCTTTAATAAAAGATATTAAGGAGATACATCGATATCATGCCCCAGTAGTCTAATGATTTGAATCCAGAAAAACGTCTGAGTGTTCAGCCCGAAATTTATTTTTTTAAACATTTTCCTTAAACTAAAAAA